ATATCATTTTTATAGCTGAGATGATACCATGTGGAGTTTTGCAAACATCATAATAAAAACGTGGCATGTCACTGAAACGTTTTAAAACATTTAAAAATATTCATAGTGTTGCATCTCCCAGTTGTACTACATGGATGCAACTTAAATATCTACCCTGGTAAATTCTGCAACAATCCTATTAAAATGTTTTTCAAATTTGAGACCATTTTGTTGTAACATTTCTATGAAGGTAGTAGGGCATTTTGAGAAAACCGTTTTGGCAAAATAGAGTTAATTTACAGTCAGGGCCACTTTACTCAGAGCACTGAAGGAAAGCACACACCGTTGGGGGTTCCAGGACTGGATCCAGAGCTACTGCAAGTGTCCCCTCAGATAGGAATCCTGTTGGTGCTTCAAATTTTGTAAGTGGATGGAGCGCTTATCTCAGTTGAACTGCTTAATAATGTATATGATTCTGTATTTCACTGGCAAAAGAAAACTGAACTCTGGACTGTTGACAGACATCATCATCTTGAACTCATTGTCATTCAATACCTTTCAGAATCCGTACTAAGAGAAATCATATCTCTAGAAGATTCCTTATGGTTACTCATTTGTCTAGGTACCTATACCTTTAATCTGTACCCCCAGATTGGGTTGCCAGATAAAATACAGGAAATGTGTATTAAAATATCAGGACACGCCAGTAATCCCAGCACTTTGGGAGGCCGAAGCGGGCAGATCACGAGGTCAGGAGATCGAGACCATCCTGGCTAACAGGGTGAAACCCCATCTCTGCTAAAAATACAAAAAAAAAATTAGCCGGGTGTGGTGGCGGGTGCCTTTAGTCCCAGCTACTCGGGAGGATGAGGCAGGAGAATGGCGTGAACCCGGGAGGCGGAGCTTGCAGTAAGCAGAGATTGTGCCATTGCCCTCCAGCCTGGGCGACAGAGCGAGACTCCGTCCAAAAAAAAAAACAACAAACAAACAAACAAATATCAGGACACCTGTTGAGGTTGAATTCAGACAATGAACTTTCATCTGAAGACCTCAAACTCAGTTTTGGCTGGGGATCTTGTAGTTTTATTTGCTAAATCTGGCTACCTTACTTCTGTAGATTACCATTTGGTTTTGTTGAATTACTAAAATATTGGTCAATGAAAAGGGTATTGTATGGCTAACTATCATAGTATTTGGAATCAACAAGCCATCCTCTGTAGGCCTAGCAGCTGTGTGATCTTCAGCAAAGTACTGAACTTCTCCAAAGCTTAGTTTCCGTAGGTAAAATAACTATGATAATATAAAACCCTTTGGATTTCTGTGCTAATCAAATGTTTAAAAAATCTGTAGGCCAGAGTAAGAATTCAATAAATGGCAATAGTTATTATCACAAAACTTTACTGTATTTCTTTTCATATTAATTCTATTCTCCGACTTCTCTCAATGAGGACCACTAAAGAATAGATTCTCCCCAGTCTCTCTCTCGGGAATGGATGTGTCTTTACTCTCGCATCCACCTAGAATGACAAGTGTGGTTTTGATTTATGGACCCAGGAAATTTTGGAATTGATTTGTTTTCCTCTTCACATTAGCTACTTGAAAACACAGAGTTAAATTTGAGATTTTTCTACAGCAGGCATATAGGACATCATTACACAGATTTTGTAACGATCTCTTTCTTGGCTCCCTAATACCTTTGTTTTTAGTTTGCCCCCATATTTCTTATTTTAAAATATGATTTAACCATCTATATTATAAGCTCCTTTGCAAGTATTCAACGTTTACATTTTCTGAATGTGTGCTGAGTGCCTCTCTGGGAGGGATGAGAAGGAAGGTGTGATGGGAGCCATGTATGTAGCCCAGGAAGGCACACTCCTTGCTAACCCTGATGGGGTGTAGAGGAATTGTGAAAATGCGCAGGGAAGAGAGAAGCACTCCAGAGGCCTCAGATAGGGCTGGCCTGGGGAAAACTCTGAAGTTGCTGAGTTCTTTTCTCCACTGTCCTTTTCCTAAACTTACACACCACTTCCCAAGTCACCTGAGCTCCCTGGGGCTCAGTTTCTGCAACTGAAAAATAGGAGGATGGAGAAGGTGAACCCCAAGGGCTTTCTCAGCGGCGGTGGCTCATGATTCAGGGTGTGCACTCATAATGAGGTCAGGAAACTGCCAGAAGACCTGGATTCTCACACCAGCACCACCACTGACCTCTCTTATTTCCTCCTCTGTACCGTGACGGTAATACATACTTCTGCCATACAAGATAGTGTGAATAAAACAAATGTAGCCAAAACTTGTTCAATGTCTGCCACACAATCATGGTGAAAATGACTGTGATTGTAAGAAAAAAAATCTTACAATCTGCCACACAATCATGGTGAAAATGACTGTGATTTTAAGAAAAAAAATCAATTATTTTGAATTGAATCAAGTTTGCATAGCATACAATAAAACGTTGATCCTAAGTGTTCAGTTTGATGATTTCTGACTGTTGAACATACCTGTGTAATTATCACCCCAGATATATTTCCATCACCCCAGAAAGTTCCACCGTGCTACCAGGCAAGCACTGTTTTGATTTCTAACTCCACGGATTCGTTTTGTCGTATCTTTATATTCGTATCAGTAAAGTTATATTTCTTTGGGTCTGGCTACTTCTACTCAACAATACTTTTAAGAGTCATCCATGTTTTGCATGATTCAGTAGTGTGTTCCTTTGTATTTCCTGTTGATGAATATGTGAATTGTTTCCTGTTTATTGCTATTATGAATATGGCTCCTATGAACATACTTGTGGACTTATGTTTTTATTTCTTTTTGGTTGACCCTTAAGGGTGGTCATTTGGTAGGTGCATATTTAACTTTCAGGGAAACTTATACATTGTTTTGCAAACTAATTGTACTACTTTACATTCCCACCAGTTGTGTATGAGAGCTCTGTTGCTTCATTGTCTCATCAATAACAGGTGTTGTCAAGTTTCTTTATATTTTAATAATTTTCACAGGTGTTAGATGAATATCACCATGGTCTTAACTTGAAGTTCCCCGACTAATGATGATGAGCCCTTTCCATGTTTTCATTGGCTATTCGTATATCTTTTTTAATGAAGGCAAAATCTTTTGCCTTATTTAAATTGTATTTCTTTTTATATTGTTGATGTGTAGGAATTATTTATGTATTGTTCTTTGCCAGATAGATGTAAAGTGAGAATATTTCCAGGGTTATGTATTCATTTTTAAGTGATGTCATTGCTTAGTAGACATTTTTAATTTTGGTGATATCCAATTAATCAATTTGTCCCAAATGGCTATTGTTTTTTTGTGTCCTAGCTAAGAATTTTTTTTGCCTGTCCAAGGGTCTTCTCTGTATTTTTATGAAATATTTACGGTTCTAGCTTTTATGTTTAGGTTCATGGTCTATGGTGAATTAATACTTGTATATAGAACAAGGGAAGGATGAGGTTCTTTTTTCTGCTGCTGCTTCTTCTGTAGAGGTACCCAGCTGTTCCAGCAACATTTGTGAAAGACTGTTTTTTCCCATTGAATTGACATGGCGCATTGTTAAAAAATCAATTGACTAGGTATGTGTGGGTCTATTAGTCTACTTTCTATTTTGCATTGTATGTTTCTGCGAATATCACATTGTCGTAATTACTATTGCCTAATTATAAACCCTCAAGTCAGTATAAGTCTCTCAATTTGCTTTTGTCAAGATTATCCGGACAGGCCGGGCGCGTGACTCACGCCTGTAATTTCAACACTTTAGGAGGCCGAGACGGGCAGATCACCTGAGGTAGGGAGTTCAAGACCAGCCTGACCAACATGGAGAAACCCCGTCTCTACTAAAAATACGAAAGCAAGCGGACGTGGCGGTGCATGCCTGTAATCCCAGCTCCTTGGGAGGCTGAGGCAGGAGAATCACTTGAACCCGGGAGGTGGAGGTTGCAGTGAGCCAAGATTGTGTCATTACACTTACTCCAGCCTGGGCAACAAGAGTGAAACTCTGTCTCTGTCCAGACAATCCTAGATTATTTGCATTTTCATATAAATTTTAGAAAGAGCTTCTTAATTTCTTTGAAAAATTTTCCAGGGATTTGGATTGGATTGCATTAAGTATATGGACTCTGTGATATAGAGAGTCTAAAAATATACGGTGTGGAGAATAGATGTCTTAAGTCTTCCAATCCATAAACGTGGCATATCCCTCTATTACTTAGATGTTTCATCTCTGTTAGCAATATTTTGTAGTTTTCACAGAAGATATCTCATACGTTATCCAATGAATTTATACTTTGGTATTTTGATTTTTAAATGTTATGGTAAATGGCATTTTTAACAAACTTCACTTTTCAAGTTTCCATCTCTAATATATAGAATTACTATGTTTTTTTTATATTCCATGATCTTGATAAACTCAGTATTTCCAGTAGTTTCTTTTGTAAATTTCAAAGGTTGGTCTACATATAATTATGCTCTCTGTTAAAACCGGTAGTTTTAATTCTTTCTTCTCAGTCTTTATGCCTTCTAATTTTATCTTTATTTCTCCACTTGTTGCAAAGCAGTTGTCCCAGGTGGGAGCCAAAATCATTATCTCATCACTAATCTTAGGAAAACGCAAAATGTTTCACTATTATGTGAAGTTACCTGTAGGTTTCTTATAGATGTTCTTTATCAGATTAAGAAAGGCCATTTCTACTCTCGGTTTTCTAATCGTTATTAATTCAAAAAGGGTGTTGAATTTTGTCAGATGCTTTTATTTGCATTTATTGAGATAACTACACATTTTTGTTTATTCTTTGGTGAATTATCTTGATTGGATAAAAAGAAAATCATTGTGTCATTAAATCTTTTGTCTGTCGGCTATGGGTTTTCCTTTTCCTTTTGTTTAATAACAGCTCTGCCACAAAGTAAAAATCTAGAAACACACATTCCCCTTTGGCCTCCCTCCTCGGATACTCTGCTGTGAACAGCGCCCTGCAGGGTGCGTGCGAGCGGCCCGGGCGCGCCACCTTCCGGCCCTGCAGGTCACCCGGCTGCCGCCCTGATTTTCCCGGGACCCGCGCCGCGCGGCTGGGGAGGAAGAGCCAGACGTCTGGGGCCCACGCCGTCCGAGGGGAAAGGGCGAGGCGCTGGGTTTTCCAGCTGCGCCCTTCGGACCCCGCGATCCAGTAGCTCCGGTAACTCCACGCGGGGCGCCTGGGTGGAGGAGGCGGTCCTGGAGCATCGCTGCGAGGAGCACCCCGACCGGAGGGCCCCCAGACCGGGACCCCCAAGTCAGGGAGGACTCTACGCCCGGGAGCGCCCCAGACTGAGAGCGCCCCAGACTGCGACACGCCGGGACCCGGAGCTTTGCCCGACCGCGGGCATCGCCCACCTGCAGCCTCCACTGGCCGAGTTTAGCAACCAGGAGCTGCCAAACCCCTGACATTCTTCTTTCTTTCTGTTCCTACTTCTTTCCTTCTTCTTCTTTTTTGGTTTTTGTTTTTGTAACCCTCTCTGGGTGCCCTATCTTTTTAATCACACCTCTCTTTCACTTTCCACGGTAGTCAGGAGGCGGGGATCGCTGCTTCTCACCTACTTTCCGAACTTGGCCTCCGCAGTCACGACCTGGTGTGAAGGAGGAGCTGCCGCCCCCGCCCCAGCCTCGGGGACGCCCCTCTGAAGGTAAGGGTGGGCCCTGTTGCCACTCGCACCCCCTCCCCACTCCCCCAGGGGAAGGGAAGACCACCATCCGGGGAGGGATTCTCAAAACAAGGTCAATTAAGAGAGAGAGAGAGAGAGAGATTGTGTGTGTGTGAATATGTGTGAATAATTGATGAGACAGCATGCAGTCTTTCTCTGAAAGTACAGTTTTAGAAATTAAGACGTTCCCAATTGTTTTCTGGAGAGGTGAGAACAACTGAAATAAATGATAACAATAGTTGTCATTTTTTAAGTGCTTACCATGTGCCTGACACTGTAGAAAAGTTTTAGATATTTTATTTTCACTTAATCCTCCTAAGGGCCACATGAAATAGGAACTATTATTATGCTTTTATTAATAAAAGGGAGGAGGAATTCCGTCATTTATCCAAGAGTACCCAGCTACTAAGTAGTAGATCCCAGACTCACAACCTACTGTTTTTCTGATTCCAGAGCCTTTGTCTTTTTTCTGCCCAGCCTTGGGAAGTTAAAAAGCCCAGCAGGTTGCATTGCTGTTATCAGACAAATTAATGAGGTGTCAATTGCAGCCAGATATAGCGATCCAAGATTATTGTGTTTATTTCACTGACTTCCCTTGCTTCATTCTCAAGACCCTTTGCAAGTACCGATTTTGTGTCATACACAGTGCTGCTATTGGAAGCACACCTCTCAACCTCAGGGCCTTGGGTGGGCTAGGAGGGGTAAATTTGGGGAATTGGGTTTGGGGACAGTGTGTTCCCTCTCCCTGCACAAATACACATCCAAAGGCTAAGAACTAAAGCTGAAGTCTAGGAATGTGGATTGAAAAGTCAGGGCCTATAATCCCAGCACTTTGGGAGGCTGAGGTGGGCGGATCATGAGGTCAGGAGATCAAGACCATCCTAGTTAACAAGGTGAAAGCCCATCTCTACTAAAAATACAGAAAATTAGGCAGGCATGGTGGCATGCATCTGTAATCCCAGCTACTCGGGAGGCTGAGGCAGGAGAATAGCTTGAACCTGGGAGGCGGAGGTTGCAGTGAGCAGAGATTGCACCCCTGCACTCCAGCCTGGGCGACAGAGCGAGACCCTATCTCAAAAAAAAAAAAAGAAAGAAAAGAAAACGCAGGGTCTCTGCCCTCATGGACCTCACCAGATAGTGGGAGCTAGTCCAGGAGTGATGGAGACACCTGCGGAATGATGGAGACGGGCTTGGACAAAGGCATGCACCATTTGGGGCTGTTGCAGTTGGAGAGCTTCCTTGAGAAGGCAAATATTGAGCCAAGTTGCAAGGACTCTAGGGACCTGGCAGCTGGGAGAAGTGGGGAGGGTAGCCCAGGTGGCACAGGCGTAGGCAGATTTGCCCACGATTTGCCGACACTAGGTTGGGGGAAGGATAAGGCTAACAACAGACACTTGTGTGACAAGGACTATGAGGTGGCATTGATTTTCTTGGCCTTACAGATGAGAAGCCAAATTCCACACAAATTCTTTTGTTTGTTAGAGTTTAAGCGTGTGTATGTTATGCCCCAAGGTCGTTTTCTCCTCTTTGCGTTTGGTTGTTTTATCATCTTGCAGGCTGAGTAAAACGACTATGCATGGAACACTGTAGAAGAAAAATTACATTTTTAGAAAGCTGGTGTTAAGATTTTCATCCAGGCACTTTGTCTCGGGAGGTGCTCGATCGTATGTGTTGCTAATGAGCGATTTATATTATGGCATCTACATTGATTCATGTGTGTCCTTGTGAAAAGCTGTAATCTGAGGCTCGCCAATTCACTTCCTCAAATCTCAGGTTCCTCATTAGAAAGAGTTTGAAGCGGCTTTTTCCCTGTGCATTATGTGTTTCTGTGAATTACATTTAGAGAAAGGTCAGTTTCTCAGGGTGGGGCCCATAAACAAGGGCAACGGGGCAGAGCCAGGGGTTCAGGTGACTGTTTGGACCCTCTGGAAGGGCTTTTTACTGTGCTGCCTTGGGAGACAGAGTGGTCAGCTTGGATCTGACCTTAAGCCTAGGTCACCCCATTTTTGGAAGGAAACTGTTTTTTTTCTTCGTTTAGAGAAAACTTCACAACTTTGGGTGATTTAGATAAGTTTGTGACTATTCGTTATGTGTGTGTACACACACGTACGTACATATGTACGTGTACAAATATTTAATATGTCTTAGACACATCAAATATATGCATTTAAGGTGTATTAAATTTACTTTCCTAAGAATACAAATAAATGCCCTAGGTCGGCAGCTCTCCACCTGACTGTACATTAGAGTCACCTGCGGAGTTCTGAGGAATCAGGATGCCCAGTCTGTCCTCCAGACCGCTGGGTGGAGCCCAGCCATCATGATTTTTTTCCAAACTTGAGTGAGAGCTGGTGGCCTAGACTTCACATTAGTTGCTAAAACATACTTTCCAAGATATCATGCTTTAAAAAGCATTTTAAAAGTAGATGATGCAGATGTGCCAGTGGATCAGATGATCACCTAGATTCAAAATTATGTATAGTTTATGGATTTAAGTCATTCAATAATTCAGCAAATAACAAACAAGCAGACATAAAGTGAAAATATGACAGTGATAAGTGCTATGAATAGAAAAACTAAAGGTGGGAGGGTAGAGGCACATTGGTGTGTGTGAGCATGTGTGTGTGTGTGTGTGCATGTGTGTGTTTGCACTTGGGCAAGCATGCTGTGTTAGACTTTCAGTAGAGTGCTCAGGGAGGCCTTATACATGACAACGTAGTGTTGGCAAACCGTAGGGGAAATACGGAATTATTTAATTAACAGTAGAGAAGTAATTAGTAGCTATTTGGGGCAAGTAGGTTTAGTTACTCCCTATCTTCATGTCAAACAAGAAAGTTAATTGTTGGTGGATGAGAAAAGCTAAACATAAAAACAAAACAACACAATACCGAGTCATAAAAATGAAGACACTACCTAAGCATCTATGTGACCCCCGACAGGAAAGGATATTCTACACTCAAAAGTAATGAAAACATCACAAAGCAAAAGAGTGATCGGTGTGACTACATCAATCTAAAATTTGTCATATATTAGCATAACAAAAGACAGAAAGTAAACAACAAGTTAGACAAACATCTGAGAACTGGACAAAAGACGTGAAGAGATGGTTCATAAACATGAAAATAAAATGGCTGATAATATGTGATTAATATTTGCCTCATTTATACCCAAAGAAATGCAAATTCAGAAAACAATGAGATATCATTTTTCCATTTTGGCTAATTACATTTTAAAAGTAAAGCTGCTCAGTGCTCTCCTGGGTGTGGTCCATAGATACTGTCTTGTGCTATTGAGTGAGAGAATATGAATTATTACAACATTTCTGGAATGCAGTTTGGCAGTATGCATCTGTCAGGTTTAAATGTAGTCTTCAACTCAATCACTGTACTGCCATGGAGTAACATCTAGGAAATAATAAGAAATGTAGACAAATAATAATAACTAACATTTAAGTAGTATTACCATTCACCAGACACTTGGAATAGTAACTCATTTAACCTTCACATTAGCTCTGGGAGATGGTATGATGATCCCCTTCTATGGATAAGAAAATTGAGGCACAGAACAGGTAAGTCAGTTGCCCACAGTCGGTTAGCTGGTAGAGGGTAGAATGGAGATTCAAATCTACCCAGGCTGGCACCTGAGCCCATGCTGCAAAAAAACGGAGCCGTCCTGCCTTACCCATGAAGATGGTCATGTGATTATCGCATAATACATCTGGTAAATGATAATATATCCACATGAAGTAATATTAGGTAGCAATTAGAATGGTTTTAACAAAGAGTTTTGTGACACAGGAAAAATGCTCATTATGTA